AGAGCCAAGCAAACTGAAGCTGTCAACAATCTCAATCTCTTCATCATCTATTATGATGCTGCTATTCAGCCCAAAAAAATTTAAAATCAAACTCACTGCCATCAAGTCAATTTTAACCCATCTTAATTCCAAACCAAAGCAGAACTATCCTCTTCTTAAAGATCTTACTGCTATGGTGTCAGAACCAACTCATAGCTGATCCTGCACTGGGTTGGTGAGGTTGTAAATCACGTGAGAGGAGACTGCCCCCCTTTCTCCCTGGGGAATTCAAACTGCCAGTGAGGCGTGGCCTGTGGGTTCACAGATCAACTCCATAAGGACTTCGCCTCCTGAGCCTGAATTACCCCTTCCTGTTGTTGTTGTTGTGTGCCACCGAGTCAGAACAGACCCATAACTCACCCTCTAGTGGGTTTTCAGTGGCAGCTGATCGTACAGGAAGAGGCAGCGGCTGGATTCAAACTCTGTGCCTTCACGATCGCAACGCAGCTTCTTACAACTAGGCCTGAACTACCCCTTAGGTATTACCAAAACTGTAATTCTCAACTGATGCCTCCTTTATCTCCTGCAAAGCAGCTGATGGCTTCGACCCACTTTGGTTAGGCATCAAACTGAGTGGCACTCCCAAACATTTTGGTACTTAGTGGAAAGCCTATTATTGTGGCATCGTTTCAGACTCACAATGACCCTGTGGGACCGAGAAGGTCTGACCCATAGCATTTCCACGACTGTAAATTGGCACAGCTTCTTTTCGGGGAGCTGCTAGTGGTTCAAACCACATCGTAGATGCTCAGGAAACACTTGTAGAATGTATTTTAGATTTTGAACTTTTTAAATCAATGGGCCATATTGCCCAGCTGTGGGGGCCTTAGGGCGGAGGCCTCACCACGCATTCTCAATGTTCCAGGGCTGCTGGCGTCATGGGTCCCCGAGTCCTCCTCGCTCTGCTCTTCGTGCTGCTGCTGGTGGGCCTTGGTGAGCCTGGTCTTGGGTTCTCTCTGGGGAGGGGGGGATCCAAGGATTCTCCCAGCTGCGCAGTCCTTAGGTGCACCCCCACTGCAGGCCTCTCCACTCCCCTAACATGCCCCCTTGTCCCTGCAGAGGTCCAGGGGGCCCCAGTGGTCCAGGCTGACGAGGGCAGCCCGGCCATGCTGGAATCGCTCTTCCAGTACTGGTCCTCGGCCAAGAGCACCGCGAAGGACCTGTACCAGAAGACCTACCTGCCCAACGTGAACGAGAAAATCAGGTACCAGCACGTCCTGAGGAGCCCCATCCTACAGGTCGCAGGACCCAGGAGTCTAGGTCCCACCCCTCCTCCCTCAGATCTTACAGGACAAACATCCAGTCCCCTCCTCCTTCAGACCCAGGAGACCCCCACCCCAGCACCTCCTCTCTCAGACCCAGGAGACCCCCACCCCAGCACCTCCTCCCTCAGACCCAGGAGACCCCCACCCCAGCACCTCCTCCCTCAGACCCTGGAGAACCGAATCCCAGTCCCTCCTCCCTCGATCCTGGAGTCAGGATCTCCAGCTTCCTTCCACCTAAGACGCAGAAGTCCTGGCCCTCAGTCTCCTGCTCCAGACTTGGGATCCTGGCCCGGCTACCTCCTCCCTCAGATCCAGCAGTCTGGGTCTCCAGCCCCTCCGCCCTGAGACCCTTTGTCTTCCTTCCAGGGAAATGTACAGCAAGAGCACGGCAGCCGTGACCACCTACGCAGGCATCTTCACAGACCAGCTCCTCACTATGCTGAAAGGAGAACAGTAACCCCAGGGGGTGTGGCCCGGGGTCCAGCTCCCCAGAATTCCTGACGAGCCCAGGATTAGAACCCCCGTCCCTCACTTACCAAAAGTTCTCAGCATCTTGTTCCTCACTGTAGCCAGAATTCTTCTCAATAAAAGAAAAGAAAAGAAAAAAACAAAACCCAAGTCATTACTTGTGTTGACGGTGGCTGCTCTCTGAGGCCCTTAGGGAGAGGCTGCCCGGCGCTGGTCATCAGAAGCACACAGAAAAATTAAGTAGCTTTTAGGGGTCAGCAGTAGAACCCACCCAGCAGCTCTATGGAGCAAGGATGAGGGAGTCTGTTTCCAGAAAGACTGGATTCTAGAAAACTCCATGGGGCAGTTCTGCTCTGTCACATAAGGTCATCATGAATCAGAATCCTCTCCAAGACACACAACAAAGAAAGGAGAGCTGATTTTGCTCCACCAACATTTATTGTCTGTTGAATGCATTTCTGGAACCTCCATTGGCATACAGGGTTAGTGTTTGCCTGTTAACTAAAGAAGAAAAGGTTGGTGGTTCAAAAATCACTAGCTCATGGCCTACCTTACGGTGTCGACCCAAAGGCACATGATTCAAATCCACCAGCTGCTCCGAGGGATTTATAGCTCCTGTGCGATTTACAGCCTCTGAAAAACTGCTGGAGGGTCAGCTCTGAGTCAGGTCTGACTCCACGGCACAACAGCTTGAGGAAAAAAATGAGCTGTTTCCTCCTGTAAAGATTTCAGGCCTTAGAAATCGGTAAGTCAAAATAACTATGAGAGGGGAGCTCTGGTGGCCTAGTAGTGAGGAGCTGCAACTACAATCCCAGAGGCACATGGTTCGAATCCACCAGATGCTCTGCCGGGAAAAGGAGGGACAATCTCCTCCTGTACCAGTCAGATCTGATTTGACGGTACACTCACACAAAAATAAAAAAAATTAAAAAAACAACTATGAGATATCATCTCACCTCAGTAAGAATAGCAAAATTTAACAGAACAGCAAGCAACAAATGCTGGCGAGGCTGTGGAGAAACTAGAACCCTTATTTACTGTTGGTGGGAGTGGAAAATGGTGCAGCCACTGTGGAAGGTGTTCTGGTGCTTTCTCAAAGAATTGGAAATAGAAATGCCATTTGACCCAGCAATTCTACTACTGGGAATACACCCTAAAGAAACCATAACTGCCACCCAAGAAGATATATGCACACCCATGTTTATTGCTGTTCTGTTCACAATAGCAAAGAGTGGGAAACAACCCAAGTGCCCATCAACAAATGAATGGATAGAGAAGCTGTGGTATATTCACACAATGGAATACAATGCTGCATTGAAAAACAAGGAACTCATGAAATATTATACAAAATGGGTGACCCTGGAGGACATTATGCTGAGTGAAATATCTTGGTCACAAAAGGAC